TGTAAAAAGGTTTCTTACGCTCAATCATACTACCCATTGTGCGAGGTGTTGATGGCAGGTTACATGATATCAGCGGGTAGAACCTATTCACTGTTGTTGGGATACCCACAGAAGAGTTAGCCTCAATATTACGTGTTCCCCTATTTTGGATTTATCTCCCCAGTCTTTTTTGTCAGAGATGAAGGGTTTCTTTGCCTCTGTGAGATGAACTTAGGTTCATTCGAATCCTCTTCTAGAGCATCTCTTGGGGGACCAATTTTTACATGAACATGTTTAGTTGGGTGTATTTCGTTACACGGCCAACATTTTGGTATTATACTGAACGAACACCCGGGATCAGAGATGTCGTCACGCTTTTTAGTGACAGGTGGGGACCGTATCTTATCCAGAGATTTCTGATCTGCAGACTCGTCTAGATCTACGGATGAACGAGTCGTCTGTGCTATACCATCATGATTGTTGTCCATGCGCTTTATATAATTCATTTTGTTGAATACTGTCTTTAGTTCGTTTTTACTATCAATCTATCATACGATTCTATTGCTTCACGTCTTATTATGCGACGTTGACACGGTGTTAGGTCAGGAGTGACTTTAATGCTTTTGTATGGAACTAATGAGCTGATATTTTTGCTCAAATCAATAAACTGTTTAGCATCGTTACAACAGCCAAACTTAAATAGTAGAGGGCAAGTTAATCTATCCGACTTTTTTCTAAGGCGGATGACTTGGCAGTTGACCTTCAGCATATCGCATGCTTTAAGGCAGATGTCCCTCAACTTATTTGGGTGTATGCGATCAGGGAGATTGTAAACAACTGCATTGTGGGAAGACATCATTCTTTTTGTCACTTCTTCAGCCACAAAATCTAAAATACACTCAGCTTTAGTGAGTTGTTCGAGATTTTTCTCGGTATTAATACCCCATATGTGTGTGAGGGGTACTAGTTGGTTAAGTCTACTGTAAATTTCGGCTAGGGAGTTTTGTAACTGACGAATGTCAGTACTATGTCGATCAGCATTCTCGTATACGTGAGATACACTGTTAGACTCCTTGGTTTTTGGTATACTGGACCTAGGCCTAAGTAAAGCATGCGGTCTGGTGGATTGTGTTGACTTTTTGATGCACGTGGGCATTTCGCTTTTTATGTCAACTAGTCTTACAGTTGGCATACTGCATGAAGAGACAGAGGGTTGTTACATGGAGAATCAGGTAGTGTTAGTGATATTTGTGGGTAGGTAGCATGAGGTTCGAAGGATAAATGCTTATCATTTTCAGTCGCTGAGTCATCAGTCTTAGGAGTTACGGACTTTGACCTTTTAGTAGGCTTGAAAACTGGTGAAATCTCTCTTTTACCCGAGTTACTTAACATATTTTGAAGCTGGGTGAGTTAAAAACCTGTCTAATAGATATATATGAGTATATAATTATTTCTACTTATTAATCGGGTTAATACTAGGATCAGAGACTATTAGTATATAACGTATTACAGATAAAAAGTGCTCAGTTATAATTTAAAAAAGTACTGATCAGTGAAATCTCTATTAACCGGGCAAGTGTTGGTTAACATTTATTAACCTAGAGTAAAGTGTGAGCGTAAAAAACGCGATAGGATGATAATCTAAGGACAAAAGAACAAGTCTAAGAATTTCTAAACCACGTGCTTTTTGTTCTTTTGCTCTGAAAATTCGGAGATTCGGCTAGCTTTGGGATGCAGTTTGATGGCGTTCATAAAGTGTGATTTATTTGTATCTAGTGTCTTTTATTGATTTATTCAGCGGAACTTTGGATTTTTACATCAGAAAAAGCTATTATCGATGTTGCCTTTCCAAATTACATGGAATATACTGAGTTGATAACCACTCAAAATCACTCATCTGCTTCCGGCAATATCTGTGGTAGTTTTCCAAAAATCAGCTCCGTACAATAGGACTATCTTGACGTTCGTAATGAAGATTCTGACTTTGATGTTGGCTGACAGTTGTTTTGAGTCCCATATGTCCTAAAGCTGTAGGAATGCTTTTCTTACTTTTCCATTCCTTGCCGTTAGGTCTGCATCAGATCCTCCTTGTTCATGGACGATGCTGTCCGGGTACGTGTGAGATTCTACTTCTTCCAGAATTTCTCCATCAAGTGTGATTTATTTGGTGTTCTCGGCGTCGTCTTTGAAGATCTCACTTTTCCTCTGTGTATTTTAAGGCCTACTGATGCAGAGGCTTATGCCACACTGGTTGGCTTTCCTAAGTCTTGCTGATTGAACGCTATACTCGGGTCCTAAGCTAGTCTCGTAACTCCAAAACTACACTGGTTGTTGTGCACTGCAGTTGTTCGTATATGAAATAGAAGGGCTAGATCATCTGCGAAGTCCAAATCGTCTAGTTGCAACCAAGTTGTTCATTGCATTGCGTGCTTTCATTCAGATGCAGAGGTCTTCATAGTCCAATCAACCACCAGAAGAAAAAAAGTGGGAGAGTAAGCACCCTTGTCTGACTCCGGTCCTAACTTGGAGTGCGTCCGTCAGCTACCCTCTATGCATGACTTTGCAATGTAGTCCGCCATATTAATTCCTTGTGATGCTGACAATTTTCTTAGGTACGCCACAATGTCGAATTGGGTTCCATAAGGTTTTCTTACCCACAATGTCAAACGCCTTCTTATAGTCAATGTGAATAATGAACCGTGATGAGTTCCATTCACTTAATTGTTCATCGATAATCCATAGTGTGGCGATTTGGTTTGTGCACGACCGATCCTTACGGAATCCGGCCTACTGATCTCGACGTTGAGCATCTACTGAATCTTTCATGCGGTTCAAAAACATTGTCGAAAAGTCTTACTGGTACTGATAGTAATGTGATGATTCTGTAGTTCTCACATTTACTCAGGCCCCTTTTCTTTGGTATCTTGATGAGGCATCCTCCTTTCTAGATTGTCGGCACTCGTTCTTCCTCCCAAATCTTTCTGAGTAGAGTGTAGAGCATATATGCAGTTACTTTTATATTTGACTTTATTGTTTCAGTTGGCATGTTGTCAGGTTCTGCTGCTTTGCCGCTCTTGATTTGTGTGGTGGCCATCCTGACTTCGATCGTTGGTGTAGTGACAGGTGTATGAATGTCTGTGTTTCCTGCTCCTATGTCCGGTGGATTTAATGGAGTTGGCTTATTCAAGAGTTCTTCAAAGTGTTCCACTCATCTTTCCCTCTGTCCTTGAATCTCAGTGATTGGCTTGCCTTCTTTGTTCTTGACTGGTCTCTCTGGTTTATTATTTTTCCCTTCCTGTTTCTTCGTTATATTATATAGTTGTCTAATATTTCCTCCTTTCGTAGCCTTTTTATGCTTTTGTTGCTAGGTCTTAAATGTATCTCTGCCTGTCAGTTCTAATGCTCCTCTTCACTCGTTTGTTTGCTTCTGTGTATTCAGCTTATGCTTTTAGATCATTCAGCCTGATCTGTAATTCGGCTACGGGGTAGTGAAATCTCACTGACCATCCAAATTCTTTAATTCCACTCAAAGTTTATGTCGATGGTATTTTTCAGAACAATTCCTATAGCGTCACGACTAAGCCACTCACCATTAAGAGAGAAACTCAGAGAAAATTATTCGCCTGAGCAGAGAATCTAAACCACATTAGCAATCCAATGTTTACCTACTTCTGCCTGTTGTTCAGGAATGTTAGAGATCTGTTTCAATCATTGGGGGATTACTCTAGTTTGACTGGAATGACGTGACCTACCAGCTCACATCAATATTTCACGGTTAGTACCTCACGCGGATCTCTCCTTCGACGTATCCAGGTTCTATGTGTACATTGATAACTGTGTAAATAAAACAGTGTTATCGCAGAAATTTATTGGTAAAAGTAGATGCAAGAAACATAATGAGACCACTACCGTGAAGATACCACAAGTACTGTAGTTTAACAACACTTTACCAGCAATACCTTCTATAATCAAATCGCGCCCACTCAGTGAAATCAAAAATCGGAAGCGAGGAGGTTGGAAGATATATTTGATGGGTTATCAACATATGGAGAAGTGACTGATCTAATCTGGCTAATGATCTCAGGAGATGTTGCGCACGCCGTTCCAAAATGTGATCTGGTACGGATGCACGACCGAGCGAATTCAGCTAAATGAGTCCACTGAAACTAATGTGGTCAGCATCCAATCTCGAACACTTACAGAGGTATTGATTTTGGGGATTTATTTAGAGCTACTACCACATGGGAAAGTCCATAGCGTGCAAGTGATTTATTGACGTTGGTTGTTCTTGACATTGATGGGGATTGGTAAACTGCTCGTTATATAGTGATTTGACTGCCTGATGATTAGGCTTAGGCCCAGTGATATTTCACTGGCCATTTGTCGTAATGATCTAGTAGGTCACCAACGTCGAATGAATAAGGGTTTGTTCGAGTGATGTGATGATGTGACGAACAGCTAACTTCGAAGTCACACCTTGCGGTCAGCACCTAATAAGGTTTACTTCTTAGTCGTACTATTACTGCTTTGAAGACCGTATTACACAAAGGACGTTATTACAGAAATATACTAGTTAGAGTAGGTACAAGCGAAAGTTCGGCCACCATGGTGAACGATTTAATGGTGTGCACTGGTTGTCGTCGCCCTTAACGGGGATCGATGAACTGTTCGATATTCAGTGACACAACTGCCGGATGATTTGGTTAGCGCTCGGTGACATTTCACTAACCCTACAAACTAATATGGTACTTCAATTATCATCGTCCTCTCCCTTGTTATACTTTTTAGTACATAGTTTGTACAGCCAGTTGTCAACACCAACTGATTCTGGTTTAGGATATGTTACAATTCATTAAGATTGATATCCGAGGAAAAATAAAATACTTTTTTTATACTGTAACACCACAAAGACACTGAATGTTCATAGACTTACAACCAGCACACTAACAGTTAATAATTCCCAGACACAAAAAGGTACTAGATAAATTAGCTTTTTTCAATTGACGTATAAAATGCTGATACTTTATCCCAAAATTTGCCGCCACATATGAAGCGTGAGGCACTCACAGTCTTCGCGCTTGGCCATAAGCTGTTGACATTTAAGCCACGGTAATCAAAGTTTCTACTCTCTTTGTACCATGTGGTTTTTTGGAAATTGAAATCGCGATCTCGAATTGTTCAGTTCGTCACTACTGTTTGTTTACCCACTCTTTTGCAAGGCCAAGTTTACTCAGTCATCACTGTTAAGGATAGGTCTATCGACCTATTTTAATCCTTGCAATCCGCGACAACGTGGAGGTTCAACTTTATTTTGAATATATCAACAAAAGTTGTTGACATTACGTTTACTGGTAGAGAATTCTAGTAATTCAGTACTCGGTTTTAAAAACGTAACTCCAGACGTTTGATCTTTGAACCATCTTTAACGATTTTGCGACGTTACTACAGCCCTTAGGTGTACTTTGCAGCAGCGTAAAGCTGTTTGTTTTATGCTTGTTAAACTAGGCACTCTAAATAGTATTTTCGACCACCCCACGTGTTTGGTTATATTCTTTTCTACAGGATCATGGAAATCCTATGGCGATACTATGTAAGCAAGTGGAATCATATGCTAGTGTGTGATCTGATAGTTCGAAATATCTACTACTATCAGATCACAGGGTTCTACTAGATTACGTTTACTTACGACGCTAAATGATAACATACTTGAACACAAATAGGTACACGGGAGCACCAAATACATATGCACTACACAATAACAATAAACTCGTGAAGAGATACAAAATGTAAAGTGTGTATGATGAAAAGGAACAGCAAACAGAAACTACTGTACGAGAGTGAAGTAATAGTAATAGTGGGAGTAACTGTTCAATTAAGAAAAATACAACCAGAAAAAATTCTTAGTTAAAAAAGCTACGTTCACTTTTATGAACAAAGCAAGAGAAAATTACAGCAGGATATCCACTAGCTTCTATTCTGAGACATGCCTCATAATGTCTCAAGCCGCTGTGTTGCGCCATCTTCAGGAACCCAACTAGGGAGTCGTGAAAGATCAACAAAAGTCAGTCCAGCTTTTTTTCATACCGTGATACCATGTCATACACTGACCACCACTCCTCTTTTTCCAACCAGTCCCGACATCGGAAAATATTTCACAATGTGGAGTTTTCTGGGACAACATTCGTAAGACATGTCCAACCCACCGAAGCCAGTGTCACAAGTCGATGTTTCAATATACTGTCACCAGATGAATTATCGACGCTGTGCCTGGACACAAGATGCCAAACTTCTACATTGCTAGCATGATGTTGCAACCAGATATCAATAATCCTTCGGATACAGTGATTATCAAACACAGATGGTCATCTAACATCCTCAAATTAAAGAGGTCAGGTCTCACAGGCATAGAGAAAACCTCCTCTCACCTACACGTTGTAAATCCGAACTTTCACAGCCAGACTAACATCACGAAAGCACCAATGATGGCCAAGATGGGCACAAGCTGCCCTGGTTTCCACCATTCGTGAATTGATTTCATCACTCACGCAACCACCAACACTTACACAACTACCCAGATACACGAACTCGACTACTTCTATCCACTCACTACTCAGAGTGAATGCAGGATCAGAGTCCTGTCAGTCTTGTAAAAGCGCTTTGCACTTTGAAGGTTCAAAGCATATACCATACCTACGAACACTAATTGCCAACTGATTAAGTGCGGATTGCATGGCTTGGGTATCATCGTATAGTAGCATAGCCAACCCTATCTGTTATCTGATCTTCATTAGTGTGCGAACTTTGAAGGAGGTCGATTTGAATGGTGTGCTTGGTTTCATAAATATTGATTCAATATTCATAGGCGATGGTAGCATTCAGCTTTCGACCAATCAGTGACTCAAGACCGTCTAGATAGAACAGGGTTTCCACCATAGGTGAGCTACTGTATAACTTGAAAAATAAAATACAAAATTAAAGTAAAAGGAAGTGAATAAGTGACGTAGTATAAAAGAAATAAAAAGGAGTGTTATCAAATGATTGTGAATATGATTTGGCTGGATGAGAGTTGAAGTGAGAATAGTTTCTCGAGTAGTAATTATCATTTGATTTGTGTGTGGGCTTGGATACTGTCCGGAGTGCCCAGATTGATGCAGGTGGTTTCCTTATGAGCCACACCTCGAGCCTTTGACCTAAAGATCTAATCCACAAGGCAGTGGGGCAACATTCGGAGATGCAGTCCCATGATGACTGGTGACCAGCAATAGGTTCACGCGCCATTTTATCCCTCAAGATCCTGGAGCCCATGTGCATCATTGGTTTGAAATCAGGATTTACCAACTTCACTAGATGGTTTTACATGTCCACTGACCTGGTTAGAGCACAGGACATCTGATTTGTTTTCCTCTCAATTTCGTAGACAACACCGACGTGGGAAGGCAGTGAGTAGGACTTCCCTAACAGTGTCTGTATATGCATGGTCATGTGAGTGCATTTCGAGAGAGAAATCGAACTTTCCCCACCCTCCGTCGTACCGGGGTATTTGGGGTCATCATACAAAAGCATTTGTTCCCTCTTTTTATTTCGACAAGTAATCTGGCAACTTTAGAATTATTATGAGATAGGTCATGTAGATGTTTTTTTTGAATAGAAACCTTCAGAGGAACGTATTTTCATGGCATCCCAAAATCTCTAGAAAATTTGGATTTTTTCCTTTGGGTACAAAACTTTTTCTTGTCCTGAATTGGTTTTTATTGGTCATTAATTCAGTTTATTTGTGAAGATATCAAAATATTCTTCTCCACTAATTTTTTCCCACTCATAAGTGCTACAGTTTATTTATCTGTCTTGATGTAACCTTTTACAACTTGTTAAGTACAATTGTGTCTTATTTGTTTGTCTAAGCTATATAATTTTCACCAGCAAGTGAATTAGCTTGCCCTCGTTGTTTATGCTTCTGTTATCCCTGCAACATATAGGTTGAGCAAAGTTATTATTTTAATTACTCGAGTTATAACAATTGTTCACAAGATGATTCCAGAGTACGTTTGTTAATCGTTTGAGTCATCAGAATCAACTTTTTCATCTGAGTTTTTTAACATGTACTGATTTAACTGTTTTCCATATTTCTCACATTTCCCAGTAAAACATCTATTTGTTATCTCATGGCATGTGTCGTCGTACACGCTGGTGCCGGATATCACTCTAAATCGAAAGAAAAGAAATATAATAAACTGTGTTCTGAGGCCTGTTCATTGGCTGGAAGGCTTTTGTCAGTTGATCACAAAAGTGCCATCGACGCTGTGGAAGCAGCTGTAGCGTATTTAGAAGACTGTCCATTAACCAATGCAGGAATCGGCAGTAATCTGAGTATTAATGGCTATGTGGAATGTGATGCGGGAATAATGAGTGGTTCTACCCTTCAGTTTGCCGGGATTGGAGCTGTTCGTAATATGAAGAATCCTGTAAAGGTTGCAAGGCTTCTGTTACAGTCACAAATTGACCACCCTGTGGGTGAGTTAGGACGCGTTCCTCCATCTGTACTTGTTGGTGATGGTGCTCATGTGTGGGCTGCGTCGAAAGGATATTCTGTTGATAATAGTGATCTCGTCACAAAACATTCACGGGTTTCATGGGAAAAATACAAAAGTTGGTTATTTAATGGGAACGAAATGAATGCAACTACAAGGGATCCTCATTTTAATCATCATGAAAATGTTCCTGAGTTGAAAAGGTCTCGTGTTCATAGATTTGATACTGTAGGTGCTGTTTGTATTGATATAGAAGGGAAGATTGCTGCAGCATCTTCTAGTGGTGGTATTGCAATGAAGTATGAAGGTCGTCTAGGTCAAGCGTGTACATATGGCTGTGGTTGTTGGGCAGAAGAACTCAGTTCATCTTCTAGTATTGGGGTTGTCACTTCAGGTACTGGTGAACAACTTATAAGAACTCAACTTGCTCAGCGTTCTGCAGAACGTTTTAATAGTGACTCTATTTCCGTTTCCGAAATAGTCCACTCATCTCTCACTGATGGATTTTTAAATTCTAAGTATCTTTCCTGTGATATGGAGAAATTTGCTGGAGTTGCTGGAGTTTACGCTAATTTTGAACGAATTGACTTCCCTAATGTGGAGGTGTTTTTTGGACACTCAACACGATCGATGAGTGTTGGCCACTATCTACCGAGTATTATGAAAAAGCCATCTGTCCATGTATCACGCAAGCAAATTGATAAACCTACCTATATAGAAGTCTACGCATATACCATATAGTTAATCTGGAAATGAAGGGTGAATATTTTTGTATCTGATCTTGACCATTTGACATGAATTTGTTAGAAGTACTCAGTATCGCCAAAGTGCATAACTCTACTGAGCAAGGAGATCGCAGTCATCTCATGTAAGAGTATTTTTTTCTTACTTTTACTCCATAGTTTTTTCAGTTGCATTTTATTTATATAAACCACAATTTATTTTATGAAAAATGTCTGATTTCGGATTGTCAAATTCGTTGCTACTTACTGACTTCTTATGTATATTTATTGTAATGTACGGTATAATCACACTCAACACAAATTACTTTAGTGTCACTTTTGGTTAACATGTACGTAGACAATAATTATCAGCTACTCGGCTGTTACCAGTCTTTATCGATTGGTTATAAGAAGCATTTGTGGCTTTATGGTTCATTGTCTAATACACCATGGTTAATTTTAACAATGATAATCTAATATTTCGTTAGTTGATTACTTCTTTGCTATATAAATCAAAACTTATGATCTGGACTGTTAGTCGTTTTAAAACAGGAACTATGGAGAGATTTCAATAATTGTAAAGTCTCAGTAGTACAGCTTGCCAAAAGTCTTCCGACAGTCATCTCGATTTTGTTGCAAAATTAAAAGCAAATAAGAAAAATAAATGTTTCGTTCCGTACCTTACAGAATTTTTCTATTTATCGATGTAATTGTCTTACCTGTTTCCCTAGTTTGGAAGAAGAGATAGATTTATGCCTTCAATTCTATGCTTACAAAATCATTTTATGGGTGTATTCAACGCAATATTAAATACATTTTCTCCGCTAAACGAATATGATCATTGTATTTCCGCGTCATCATTTAGAACATGATTTTTGTTTTTTGTATTCATTTTCCATATGTTAGATAAATTTAAGCGATATACTGTATGCGATTTCCCCGTTTACTTTTTTTAGCGTGCTATGAATGCTGGCGATAAACGTGAAAACTACTCAAACTTGTGGTAAAGTTGATCTGGAACCATGATTTTTAACTTTTATATGACACTCGTTTGTAAAATATTTAACAAACGCTTCAGCATTATTGAATAAATTATTTCCCAAACTGATGGTATTCCTCTGTCTGCTTTTTGGGTAATAACTATTGATGGATTGTCTGTAGTATATAAATTAGAGAAGTATGTATGACGAGTAATGCTGTTCTTGACAAATGTGAAGTTCTATATCCCTTCTACTTGGAAATTTAATGAATGACTTGAAGCAATTTTTCTTGATTTATACGCATCACTCTAAGTTCGACGTAAATTAACAACTTGTTATTACTGTTATGTGTTTTTCGAATAAATATCCATGACACCTGCTAGTTCGGTTTAGTATATTTATATGATAGTCTTAGTAGATTTGTGTACACCAAATATGATTCAAACCGATTATTAAAAATCTAGAAGTACACTAGTATAAGAAATGTTCTCTCTAGTGCAAGTAACAACTATTTGTGTGGGTTCATACATTAGTCTGTTAGCTACGTATATTTTACCCTTTTATAAGTCAAGCGGGGTCCCGTCTCATGACTCACTGGTTTGAAGTTGAGTTTCTGAACTCCTGAGCCGTATCTCCTCAATTGTTTCTCCGAAAATATGCAAACCGCATAGTATTGTAAATTTTACAAATAGTTGTTGTTTGGCCGTTTAATTACTAGCAACTAATTAGTTGGAAAATCTCGGCTACTTTCTTCATCGCTCCGTCCTACCTTATGGCAGTGAAACATGGCCAATAAGAGTAGAGGATATTCGTAGGCTTCTAGTGTTCGATCATAGGTGTCTTCGAAGCATTGCTCGTATATCCTGGGACCACCGGGTAAGTAATGCAGTTGTTTGGAAATGACTACTAGGTAGGGATGGCAAATCAATTGATGAAGTAGTGAAACTTCATCAGTTGAGATGGCTGGGATATGTGTTACGTATTCCCAAACGCTGACTGCCCCGACGTGCAATGTTTTATGGTGTAGGAGTAGGTTGGAAGAAAGCTAGGGGTGGCCAGACCAAAACGTGGCACAAATCAATGAAGTCACTGACAAGTGGACTGGGCCATGTTGGTAGGCGTAGACTACCTGGTTGGGATTCGCGAGATGACAGCAACCGATGGTTAGAGACCTTGAATGACATGGCTCAAAATCGTTTGCAATGGCGAAGGTGCATCCACTCTTTGTGTTCTACCAAATTCTAATCTTCTGAATTCCTCATGTCTTTATGTTTTTCTCTTTCCAAATTTATTTCACTGTGCTATACTCCTTCAATAATTTCTTCAAACCCTAATCTTTTGGATTTCTGATTATACTCCTACTACTTCTACCACTATGAGATTTGAATCGACAACTGCATCTCTGTGCTAATGTGGTATGGCAACTCGAACTGATGTACGTACGTACGAAGTTCTACGTTGTGACTGACTGACTTTCTTCAACAACATATTAAACGACTTAACATCATGAATATTCCGTTTACACTACAAGATGTTACCTGAATGTATCATAAATTACACTAAATACATCAACCGAACATGTTAGAATCATTTCCTTAGATCTTTTATGGCTTTAATCTTTAGTATGTTCTGACATTCTAATTCGACTAAAGACAGCTTATTGGACGAAATCTGATAATCTAAATTTGGAAACGTGAGTCATGTTTGGCCTAACACTCAGTGCAACAGTAATTCGTTAGTGTTCAATTTTTATCACAAATACACTTTTGATAGTGTTTCATGTGAGTGTTTTCAACAACTTCAGATAGGACTGTCAAAATTTCAAAGAACGAACCTGGACAAGCGTCCGGTCTCTAAAGCGCACGGTGCATTTAAATTATAATGTACTCTCATTTATCTTTATTGTAAACGATACTGTCAGAGGATTAGGCTAAGTACTGCGCAGTGTCTGAGGAATTGGTTTCCTGTAAAGTACTGTTAAAAGCCTTCAACAATGCTTTACTATAGTTTGGGGGATATTCAATTGGTTTTGTTGATTGCTTACTCGTCATTTTTATTGTTTGAAGTGCGTAATTTTTGTCCGTTCCATGAGACAGTATTGTAGACTTAAAATGTTACTAGTTTTAGAATAAACCTCGGGAAGTGCAAAATTCATTTAAAGGGCTAGCTTCTCCCGTTGAATTGTGCCTCGTACGTTAATCAGTTAAGGGTAAACAATCAATGCCACAGTCTAGTGTTCAATGATTGAAAGACCATAACGACAATTTCCTAGCATATATCCCATAATTTAAATTGATTTTGCTTAGTGATACAGATTAGTCCCAGGATATCTTATAGTCGTGATACATAAAAAGTAGATTGATTTACGAAATAAAAATAAATGACATTCGCCGTACTGAATATCGCGTAAATTTCTAGGAATAAAATTAATTCGTTAATTATTATCAGGTTTACGGAATATATTGTTAACATTACCGTTAAATACTTTATGTACCAAAACGTTTTAATCAACTGACAACATTAATCCGGTTACTTTTTAAATACTTGTTGATTTGATCACTTCCGATCAATCTCTTTTTCTAATCATAGTCTCAAGTAATGATCAGTAATCTCTCATGCTAAGCGCTATTTTCACAAGGCAAAATAAGTCAAACCGTTTGAACTTTATGGAACTCGAAAATCGGGTCACATTTTTGTTCAGTTGTCTAAAATAAATGGAGTAAGACTTCAATTTGTCACCAAAAGGTGTGAGGTTTCATGTGTAGAGCAATCTACTCACTCCTCTCTGAATAAGAGATTCTTCAGGTAATTTCGAACTCTACCATATAATTTGTTAATCTTAGTATTCCTGAAGTGTCGGTATTTTTGGTTGAAGTAAAAAATTTCAGAGAAAATTAGAACAACAGTGATTGTTCAAAATAATTCGTTCGCCTAATTTTTTTTCAAGGATCCACTACTTCAGTTGAACCTGATAATTCCATCTAAAGATAATTAAACGTGTGATAAATTCGTCGTACTTATTTAAAACAGTTGGGGAAATTTTATTAACCTTCGTTTTTTCAGAAACTACCATCAGTTCAACATTAAATAGGAATAATATATTCTTTGTAAAACCCATATTTTGTTGAAGCGATAAAAAGTCATTGACCTGGGGATATTTTTTTACTATGGTATTTGAAAAATGGTAATGAGAATCTCCCTCGAATTCTACTTTTGATATACGGAAACTGATTTCCTGTGTGTGAAGAGGAATGCATTTCTTCTTTGATGGTAGTTAGTAGATGTGTTATTTGTTTTGTCATACAAAACCATTAAAGATCGCATAGATATTCAGGGTTTGATAACTCTTTTGTCTGTAGCACCTTTATAATTGAAAGATACCAACCTAGTCAAATGAAGTCGGGCATGAGTTCGAAGATATATTTAGGGAGTGGTCAATATGTTGAGAAGCGTTTGATCCGAGCTGGCTGTTACTTGCAAGGAATGCGTAGCACGGCGTACCCACTCGTGATCTGGTGCGTATTTGTGACCGAGTGCCTTCAGATAGGATATGTCCAGTAAAACTAGTGAGGTCAGCATCAATGTTGAATACTTGCAAAAATATTTAATTCAGGAGGTTATTTACCACTACACCATCCTTGTAAACTCTTAACATGTGTACTGTCACTCAATTGACAGTTAAGAATTTCAATTCACAAACACATTTTTTGTCTTATAATTGGGTTTATTCTTCGTTTACGTTTGTGTGATGTTTAAATAAATCAATGACTTCTTCGTATTGATGACTGTTGTAATTTTGAATTCCAAATACAATACATTCGTTCGAGTTCATCTGATACTTCTTGATTAAATTGCGTTATTCCTGGGATTACTAGTTCATACTACAATTTAAATACTTCTAATCATCATATTGGCGTCGCGATGGAGCCTGCGATACAACAGTTGGACATTCATTCAACTTCTGAAGCTTGTGAGGATTACCTTGAAAGGTTTGAGATATGGAGCATGACCAAGAAAGATATGAAGGGTGACAAAATTGTGGCACATTTTCTTACATTCATCGGTCAAGAAGCCTACAGTTTATTAAAAACCTTGGCATATCCAGATAAGCCGATTTCACTCCCATATACAACTCTCAAGGAATTACTATTAAACCATGTGAAGTGCACCAGTTTTGAGTGTCGTGAGAGAGCAAAATTTCATAAGATGATTCGTCAGGATAACCAGAAGGTTAAAGACTTCATCCTTGAATTGCAAAGACAAGCTGCCAAATGCAATTTTGGTGATCAGCTTCATGTACAGTTGAGAGATCGGTTAATTGCTGGAATTAACATACCAGGTCTGGAAAAGGAGCTGTTAAGAATGCCGAACTGTTCTTTTCAAGATGCTAGAACTGCATGTATTAACTACGAAGCAGTGAATGAACTTGATATTCAATCGATGAAAATTTCTAATACTTTGCTTAGTCGTCATGATGAATTACAATCTCAGGGTCGATCAAATTTGCGTTCGTTTAATCGTGATTGCTATTCCCGTGGAAATATGAAAGGTGGTTTAACAAGGAACTGCAAAGCAAACAACAAAGGTGAGAATAAGTTTGGTAAATGCTTATCTTGTGGCAAATTTCATTTTCGTAATTCATGTGCATTTCGTAATGCTAAATGTTTTAAATGTGGCAAGATAGGACACATTCAGTCAGTGTGCAAAACTACTGTTCACTTTGCTTCAAGTATTACTAAGTCTGGTAACTTAGATCCCAATAATTCGGCTGTTCTTGATGATCATTTATCTTTATCCACTACTTCAAAAGGGAATGTTCATATTCAAAAGCGATTATATACATCCCTTGGTTCATTTCATGACTTTATTGTGGACACAGGTAGTATAGAGTCCATTATTTCATTCAAGAACTTGAAATCTTTAGATCCTAATGTTGTGGTAAAACCCACTGAGGTCTCAATACTGGGGATTACTGGACACAGACTACCTATACGAGGATGTTGTAAATTGCTAATAAGAGATGATAATTCTTCATACGTACCTTGTGAATTTTTAGTTAGTGAAACAGGACTGTCCATACTGGGTTTAAAAAATCTGAAAAGGCTTAAAGTGGAATTGTCTCTACTAGTTTCTACAGAGAATTCTGATGCTTTACTCAAGGATTTGATAGCTGTGTGTGCTAAGTGTAGTGGAGGTATGAAAATTCAGCCCATTAAACTTCAAGTACAGGGTGATCCGGTCTTTCTTAAAAGACGAATAATTCCTTATGGTCTTCGAGAAGCAGTACATAAGTCACTGAATGATTTGTGTGCGAAAGGTATAATTGAACCAGTTCAGTCCTCAGCATGGGGTAC